GACACATGAAAAAACAGATTTACATTCCTATGTCAAACACCTTACAAGCATGAGTAAATTTGCAAAAGTATATGTTTGACCTAGATTCAAATTCTGAATGCCTTCAATATCTGGGGAAGGGTGCATCTCTGGTTTCTTCATAAGAAAGATGATGAAGGATCTAGATATCCAATAATAACCGAGTATTTTAATGAACTGAGAATAAGCCAACTATCCTTTCAGTTTTGTATCTATGTCCTTTATGAACAGAGAAACTTCTACAAAATAAGAATATGTCTAACTTTTTGCCATAAGTTTGACCTGCACATGAACTATGCTTTTTATACATCATAAACTGTCTTTGCCGTGAAAAAAATAAAAGGATGGATTTTTATTTTCTTTAATTTATCATTGCAGGTACCTTTGTTGTGCAAGTCACTGCAACTGATGCTGATGATCCTACATATGGGAACAGTGCTAAAGTTGTCTACAGCATTCTCCAGGGACAACCATATTTCTCCGTTGAGTCTGAGACAGGTCAGAGGACCTTATCTGTCATTCTATGACAATGTCTGTAATTTAAAGTGACATACTAAGCCAAGCTAGGACGTATTAGACAAAAACTTCAAAGAGATTACATCTTAGTGCAAAATCTGACAAACTTAATAGAGCGACACATCTGTAAACATGACACCTACATTATTTTAATCTTACCAGCAAAGTCTAATAAATACAATTAGTACTGGATGTGAACGAGTTTTCAATCATTTTTAACAAGCAGTGGGTACAGAGACTGCCGTGGATGCTTAAGTTAAACCAAATAGTTTGGCTTTTAGGAGAAAACGAGAAACAGGTGGGTGTGGAAAAAAGTGCTTAATCCTCATAGATCTTCATAATGGCTAAATTAAGACTGAGGGTTTGTTCAGGTGGGGTTTTTTTTTCCTCCTTCTGCTTCTTCAAAACTTGTTTAAAGTAATTATAATTTCTGTACATCTGCAACATATCACTTTAATGCTAATTTTATGAAAGAAATCTTAATTAAGAATAATGATAGAAGAGGTAAAATTGGCTGTTGCGCTACACTAGAAGATCACAAATAGAATCCAAAACTTCTGAGTTCTGTTTTTGGAAGATGTTTAAATTATACACAGTGACTGGAATTTTTTATGGGCTGAATAAGAGACAGCTTTGGAACCTGCGCATGTAAAACATATGAATTCTGGCTGACTGAATCTGCTGTACCATTGACTATCTGACTACATAGATAGTCTTTTCCCAAGATTTATAACAGACTTCTCCAACAAGAAACAAAAGATCTCAAGAAACTCCTTAAATGCGAACATCCATTGTGATGGTTTGCTGGAAGCTAGAGAAATCAATTCTCCTCAGCACCCTTCCAGGAAAGGAATGGATTATCCCAGACAATTAATCAGGTTTTAGCATTTTTTCTTAAACAAATCTTAGAAACTCAGACAGGGAAAAGGAGGGGGAGATTAGATGTCCCAAAGAAAAACCTGAGGTGAAAAAACGCACATAATTCTGAAAAGAGGGAGAGCCAAGATCAAAGGGAGTTTCCCTTCAAGCATATGGTATAAGATACGAGAAGCAAGGATTTTTTTTTCACTGATGCATTCATTCTGACTTGGACAGTACACTATGTGCTCTTTTATCTAGAGTTATAATAAGGATAATGTAGCTGGGAGTTCACCAGCCGTAATCTTTTAGCAAGAGGGTTGTATGGGGCACAGAGGGGAAGCAAGGTAAACCACAGGCTTGATCTTCCTGCCATGGAAATCAATTGCAAAACTCCTAGAGTGAAATAAGTCTCTGTTGAAGCTGCTGTGAATTTTGCCATGGATTTCAGTACTTGAATTTCACCCCTTTTGCCTACAAAGGAGTCAGTTCTTAGCCTAAAGAGACCCAGTGAGAATGCAAACATTTTGCTTCATGGTAAATCTGAATGATTGAATTTCAATAGGAGTTGGCCTCATAACTGATATTTGTGCCTTTGAAGAAGGAAGTGACTGGCAAGATCATTTCAATCAATGCATAAATAGAAATATATATACTTGATATACCTGGGCGTGCTTGGGTGCTCACAATTTTCTTAATTAATTTCTCTTCTCCCATTTAAAGTTGTTGTACTGCCTCTTTAATGATGTCTTGCTGAACTTAGCTTTTTTTTTTTTTTTTTTTACCACATCTGTCAAAATAAAAATATTGACAGAACAGGAGAGAAAAGATGGATCACTTTATAATGAACAGAGAGCCTTTTTCCACTTCAGTGAGAGACTTTAGCATGGAACTGAAAGGGGGTAAATAGTTATGTAAAATAACACTGCTCACAAATAGGTAGAACATCTTTCTGGGGATGCCACTAATATTGTGTCTGTCACATAGGCAGCAGCCTGAGATATGATATGACAAGTCTGTAATTTAATGTGCCATCTCATAACAGTAAATATTTGTACTGGGTGAAGTTTACTTATTACACAGAGATTGTTTTGTTCTTTGGGCTGTGGGGTTTTTTTAATAAGAATTTCCATTGAAGTGAGTACCTTACTTGTGAATTCCCCCTCTTTAATTTTCGTATTTTCAGGCATTATTAAAACTGCTTTGCTAAACATGGACCGTGAAAACAGGGAGCAATACCAAGTGGTCATCCAGGCTAAGGACATGGGAGGCCAGATGGGCGGATTATCAGGAACCACCACTGTGAACATCACATTGACTGACGTAAACGACAATCCGCCTCGCTTCCCCCAGAGTATGGAATATTTACATTCTATGTTTTTAAAGTACAATGGACAAAAATCTATCTTTTTTTCACTTTTGATGTTGTTTCTGCTGTCATGAACTTACTGAGTATCAGACGTCCTTTAAGAAAGAAAAAGACAACACACAAGCAAGCAGTAGGATTGTGCTAAGGTTTATTGCAATAACTGGGAAACATATCTTTAATATTTTTACTCCTGTTGCAGTAGATAGTCTAAGAAGGGAATTAATGTACAGAAACATTATTTTGCCTACCCATTAAGTAGCTTTGACTGATATAATCTATATTTTTGATCAATATTCTTTCTATGAGACCTTGCTGTTGACTGCATTTTAAGATATCTGTTTTAATCTAGCATATTTGTTTTTAAACATATTTATTTAAGTATGTAAAATGATCCCAAGAGCATTTCTATTAAAATGAATACTTACACCCAGGAAGCATTCACCCCAATGGATTTTCCTATATTCTTTGCATACAGAAACAAAACCACATAGCTAAATATACCAGGTATTTCTGCCTATTTTCCTTCCCCTGTCTCGGATTGGTGGGGAATACTCGGTGGATGTCTGCGTGATGTTTATGGGTCTTACTTGAGCCAGATCTCTTAGAAAGTAATTTCTATTAATGACCACTCATGGCCATAAGGGATTCAAAGCGATTCGGCTTTCATCCACTTCTCTGTCCCTCTCTTTCTTTTCTTCCTTCTTTCTCTCTCTTTTTCTTCTTTTTTGCTTTGTCTAACCACTGCTCTGTGTGTGATGTGTGTGTATCACAGTGTCAGTGTGTGTCAAAGTCAAGAGCAGCTGTTAGAGAAAATAATTGCAGATACTATCAGACAAATCAGCGAGCTTTGGCGGTTAAGTCACTGGGAAAGTTATTGGAAGCAAGTTGTCATTTAAGTTCAAAGTCTGTTCTTAGCCATGGGCAAAGCGTTTCCATTTAAATTAGAGCATCTTAAGTAAAATATAGCACTCTGCCTCCAATGAGTTAATTATACATCTCTGGACCTAAGTGTCTTCAATATAAAAGCCAAAGATACAGCTTCATAATGACAACATTCTCTAAGTAGATTTTTTTCAGAGGAGAATTCAGTGTAGCACATTATTAATAGGCATTTTGCTGGATTTGGTTTTAGTGTTACTAAGCTGCATTGGCCTCTGGCAGTTCTTAATATTTGTCGTTTGGCCTCAAGACATTTTTCATATACAATTTTGATACAGCCAACAAAGACCCTGATAATGTCTAGAAAGGGGCATATGTTGCTAAAGATACGTATATGTAGGAAAACAAAATGCCCATCCTTCATACTAGAAAATAAATAGAAAAATGAGATACTTTTATCTGCATGAAAGTAAGGCAGAAGCTGAAGGCTTTTGCCCCAGGAAGGCCTGAAGACAGTGACTGGCTCACTCCTCTGTGCATGCCCAGCATGGGCAGTGGGCTGGGAGATGGTGTCCGAGGTACCATGAGACTGACTGACAAAATTTCCTTCTCTGTCTGGTGTAGGCACATACCAATTCAGAGCTCCCGAGTCTACGCCTCCTGACTCACCGGTTGGCAGGATAAAAGCTAATGATGCTGACGTGGATGAAAATGCAGAGATTGAATACAGCATCACTGAGGGGGATGGTTATGACATGTTTGGAATTACCACAGACAAGGACACACAGGAAGGAATTATAACTGTCAAAAAGGTACTCATCTTAACGCACTTAATCCCAGCCTCTGAAATACAAATCAAAACTTTATCTAATACATATTTTTTTCCATTTTTAGTGCAACATGTGTTGTTTATTAATTTGAATGCTATCTATTAGGAATCTCTACGTTACGTATGTAAAGTTTCTTTTATACAAGCAATTGTGGTCCGTTCTCTTATACCCTCCTTTACTAAACCAATGTACATATTTTGAAGGACCTCAGAGAGTACATAACCTAGGAAGTGGGGGAGGACTGAGAAAAAATTCTACAGTCTGAACATATCCACAGAATAACTCAAGAAGGCACCACCATCCAACTGTGACTTTCTCGTGATGCTTACAGGATTTGCTCACTTACTAGAAGGCACTGTGTTAAGACCACAGAAATAATCAGGATCGCATTGCCTATTTTGCACTATCAGAAGGTGTTTAGTTGTATAGCTATAATGTATTAAAGTACATAGAAAAATTTCTTTTGACTCACAATTTGTAAAAAATTAACTAATAAATCCACCAGCATGCTTTTACTTCAGAAAAAAAAAAAAAAAATCACAGCACCTTGCTGGATCACAATGGACATCATCTACTAGGTTGCACATTGGCTGTCAGAAAAGGTTTGAGAAATATTGTTTACAGTGGGTGATCAGGCAAGCTTGATAAGGTTACAGATATCATCCTCCATCAGTTCAAGTTCAGTCATCACTAGATAGACATTGTGTAGATTTTCCGAACATGCACTTGCTTGTTGATATCAGTACGACACCTGTCATTACTTGTTTTTTAGGAGATGCCTTCCAGTGGCTGATTATGATATCAGTCTAACTCTGTTTGCATTTCTGTCCATTTCAGACAGAAGATGTCAATCTTCTACAACATAATGGAAAAACGGGGTGACTACTCTCTCCCCACATTTCTCTAAGTGCTGTAACAAAGAGCCGCTAAATGCTGCTTCTTCATACTTTTAGCAGAGTGTAGTATAGTCATAGCCTATGAGAAAATCATATTTTTCTTGATGGGTGGCCCTGGATATCCAGACACCGGATGTCACAGTGTTTCAGTTCAGTGATGGAATGCCAATATTTAAACAAGCAGCTCCAAGAAAATCTTCCCTGCTTTAGTGTGTGGTGCTTAGGGGCAAGGAATAGACAAGAAAACATCAAGATGTCAAAAATGACAGAATAAAAGGCATGAAGAGTTAAGGCTAATTGAGAAAGAAAGATTAATTGATGTTTAGGAGTTCCAGGCATAGAATTGCCCTCAGAAGTGGGGATTTTTTCTATACGATATCATCAGTAGCATAGACCCCCGTCTTTCTCCCTTCTGATGGCATGTTAGTTCCAGTTCAGTTTTGTGTCACCTAGCACAGGCCTCTCCATGACATCCCACCATTCATTTGGCTCATCTGGCTGCAAGAAATAGCTATTCCCACAGACGTCTCAAACTTTTCTTTTTTCTCTTCCCAGGCATTGGATTTTGAAAGTAAAAGCCTGTATATTCTCAAAGTGGAAGCTACCAATACTCATGTGGACCCTAGATTCCTCTACCTGGGGCCATTCAAAGACTCAGCTACAGTCAGAATTCAAGTGGAGGATGTAGATGAACCCCCTGTGTTCAGCAGACCAGCGTACATAATGGAAGTGAAAGAAGACATTCCAGTAAACAGTGTAATAGGAACAGTAACTGCTCAGGATCCAGATGCTGCCAAGAACCCTGTCAAGTAAGCATAGACTGTTTCAGCTTGTGTGGAAATTTTTTACAGCTTTAATTTTCCTTTTTTGATATCAGCACATACAAAAAAAACCCACTTTTAACAATGACATTTTTCAGGAATGCTTAAATATGGAGTATTGTAGATGGTATATGATCTCTCACATATAAGCATGTCTAGGTATGTGTGATTGTATTTGCATGGCCCTTGCATCTTGAATTACATCCTATCTTCTTCAGTAACTAATGTTTGTGTTTATTTCTACTATGGAAGAATTTACTGCAAAAAGAGCACTAAGAAGATGTTAGTGTTCTCCTTCCACCTTTAACATTTGCCAGTGCAATGCAGTGCATCCTCTTGGCTATATCACAGAGGGGTGATTCAGCAGCCCTTTCTTCTCCCATCTGTCCAGACCTGCTCAACAGAGGTCACATTTAGCTTCTCTAAACTGCAAGTAGAAATGCCTTAAAAGCAGTTCATGTGTACACACAGACTCTGATCTCACTTGTATCAGTGTAGGGTTAGTAAGATAAGCATCAGTCTCATGGGCTTCATAAATTACGCTTGCCATGAATCAATAAACTAGTCTTTGAGGAAGTGGAGGAAATGTTAAGGTTGGAGTAGCTAAGCCTAAGCCTTCGTTTTTTGCAAATTAACAGGTACATTGCTTCAATACATTTGAAAACATACTGTAGTACTTAAGTCATATTGCATAGAGTAAAAAGAATTTTTAAATAGTTGTGTGCTTTAATTAAAGTTCATTGCTACTGACAAGGCAGTAAGAGGAGGAAATGAAAAATACAGCAATATTAAATCCAGGTCAATTTTCAGCATGTCTGTATGTTGGGCACCTTGGAAATGCAATAGTAGTCCTAAGATCAAAATAGAACAATGCAGGTTTAATAAAAATCCAATCCATCAATACTTTGCACTTCTACAAACAACTATCTTTCATCAAGATATCTTACAAAGTTTATGAGGCATGAGTAAGTTTTAAGCTTTCAGCTCATCTTGTGAGAGAGGTAAATATTATCATCTTAGTTTCCTAGATGAAGAAACTAAATCTAAAACATTTCTGGCAGCAACCATCTCTGTCTTCAATTTATATGCGATGCCCTGCACGTGAGTTCTTGTTCAAGAGTAAGCCTTGTAATTTTAATTAAGCTGTGCTTTCATTTATATCACGACATGCAACAATTACATGGAGTTCTGAACTAGCAAAGCATAGTAACTTAAAGAGCAACATAATGTTTTGATGACTTTGGTGAAGCCCAGGGACAGAATGAGCACCTTCTATGGCATGTCTTCATGGGCACGCTAGCATGAAGACAAAAAATTGGTTGGGGTGACACCCAGGCCCCTTGCAGTCTTCATATTAACCTGCTTTTTTATATCGAATGGCACTGGAGAGTGTGGGGAGTGCTTCCCTGCTTCCCTCTGCTTCCCTATGGTGATAACTACAACCATTTGCATTTCACACCAGCACCAGCTCCTCATTATAAGTAATTTACAGTGGATAGGGATTATGCTGTTCATTGTTGAGTACTGCCCACTGGCTCTTTTCTATTAATTGAATGTGTGTGCTAAAACTTACCTATCTTTCAAATGGCAGTTCTTTAATACAGTGTAGATACTTTGCATATTAAAGTATCAGATAATTAATGAGCAAAATTTAGTAGAGGTGTCAAAATTGATGCAGTGCAGTGGAAAACTTGTCTCCTTTATACTCTAATAGCATGCAACAATCAAGGTGAAAGGAGAAGAAAAAGAAAAATGATGAAGAGGTTAGAGTAATAGAAATAAACACAGCAAGAGGAAACACAAAAATAAGTAAGAGGGGAAGGAAATCAGCAGAGATCAGTAGCCTGAGAGATGTTGGCTTGCAATAAATGTAATTTTATGATGCTAATATCTTGGGTATCTCCTGGAATTTAGGGGCATGGGTTGAGTCTGCATCTTTTTGACAGAATGGTGTTTTTTTTTTTTTTCCATCATGCAATAGAGATGCTAAATCTTATTTTCACTCTGAGCTTCGGGGAAGATGCAGTTAGGCTGTATATATATGACTTGTCACTTGCTTGTCAATTTTTCTTGACGGTTAAAAATAAAATCTTTAGACACTTGATATTACAATGAAAACTTTCCATTTTCTCCTCTACTGAGTGAAGATTTCTCTTTTTAAACAAAGTGAGCCCTAACTCTGTTAGATGAAAGCCCCTTTGATCTTCCATTAAAGGAAACTTTCACAATATCATTATGAAAATGCATTATGAAAAATTCACACACACATCCCTTCCTGACCCACAAATCTTCCTGACTTGCGGTTACATTAGACAGCAAGCTGCTGAACATCAGAAGACAATGAAGCAATAGCAAAACACAAAGCGGATACCTGCCTTGGTTGTAAGAGTGGATAATCATTCATGACCTGTGTATTGGTGGAGCTATATTTCATCAGTCCAGCCCATATAAATAAGCTTTGCTGTGACGTGATATTAAGAAAATAAAAAAATGCGCCAATAGATGTGTGGCTATATTTGAATATGCATCCATATGTAGCAACGTTAATACATTCCTGAGTAACACTCCACTGTCCAGCTGTGTTATAAAAGAGAGTTTTGCATTCTGCTTGTGCTTGATCTAAACAGAAATATTATGAACCACTGCATACTGGAAAAAAATAATGCTGCAACTGGCACTGCTGTATTGTACATCAGATCATTTTAAATTGCTAGTTGAGTTTTTTTGCTATAGTAACTCCTCAGAGGCATAATGATGTTCATCAGTCACTGGAACTGTCTCCCTGCTGTGATTTGATTTACTAAAGTATCCCAGATGAAAATGATCTGCAAACAAATGTAAGGCTTAATTTTGTTTGTGTATTTTACTGACAACATATTTGCATGTGTTAGATTCTCTCTTTCACCCTCCCCTTCTTCCTGTTATGTACAAAAAGAGACTGGAGTCTACATAGATACCTTTTAGCTTCCTGGCTTGCCAATTCCTCAAGGTTTGAAAGGGAGGAAGTCCTGAAATCTGACAAATACACACCAGTAATTTCATTAAATAAATGTAAAAATGAGTTTGATGTTGTCTGCTTAATTCTTACTAGGTTATGATCCATAAGTCAGATTCACCACCAATTCAACATAATTAACAGTCCTTGATCAAAAGAGACTGAATTATACAAACTGAGAAACAGAAGTGACAGTCTAGCTTATTAAAATCATCCTTCTAGTCCAGGCTTAATGGTATAATTAGAATATACTTTAACTGCATTGACCTTGTATGTATTTTCTTTTTGATATGAAGAAATAAAATTAACATTTCATTAAGAAGCTGTTCTCTGATTGTTTGTTGGGTGGTTTGGGTTTTTTTTGTGAGTTTAACTTTCTGCTGTACAAATGACTGAACATACATATGGTTTTACAAGGATTTATGTTTTAAAATTCTGAATATCTTCAAGAAGGAGTCCTCAATGTTGCAGCTCTGATAACCTTAGAAAAAGTCCAGGAATTTTTCTTTCATTTCTTACGGATACTGTACCACAGATTGGATTTGGGAAATCTTACAAAGTAAAGATAGTGATTACAATATGTTAAGGCATTAAAATGTGCTAAGGCAGTAAGATATTTTAAGTCCATTCATAACATGAAGCATTAGTGAAAGCATAATTGAAGAAAAAAAAACAACCAACGGACAACTCATGCCTCAAGCTAGTTGCTTGCTTAAATATCTTGCTGAATAAGAGCCTGAAACTTACTGTTACAGCTGGTTGGAACAGCTAATCTAAGGAAAATCCTGATATTTCATTTCATATAGGAATGCAAAATATAGATTTACTGCAAAATGGAAATACCAAAGTATTTGAGCTGAAAGATATGGAAATGAGCTACAGAATATCTGAAAAATAATTGAATTCAGAAAATACCAACATAATATCATATAAAAGCCTGAATGAATGAAAGTTAAAATGAAATGTTTACCATATCAAATACTTACTTTGTCAAAATATAAGAGAGTCAGACTGGTTTGTATAAACTTGTTTCCATCAAACATTTCAGCTAAGTCAACAAATTCTCATGTACTATTCAGATTTGGACAAAACAACACAGCTTGCTGGAGCTGTCCCACCAGTCAGCGCAGCGTATTACATACGTCCTCACATGCTCTTTTTAAGATGATGAGAACGTTACAATGCTGCGTAAAGGAACTAGTTTGGTGACACCCCAGCTGACTTCATGCAGCTGAAGTTGCGGTCCTGTTAGACAAGTGACAGCAACAAATGAAAACTAAATCAACACCTGAAAAGCTGCCAAGGTGTGCCTATGCAAGTCCTACCAAAAAAAAGTTAGCTTTTCGTGCGAGTACCTTTGAACCTCCTTTGGTTGTTTCCGTGGGAATTTAATGTGGAAAAAGACAACCAATTTAGTGCAAATGATGAATACTTGCTCAAGTTTTGTTTAGGAAGGTAGGCTACACTAAAATTCTCATTTGAGAATAAGACCAGTCTAATTTGCTCTTTATATTATATCCCATTTTTTTACTTCCAAAAAAAAAAAAAAAAAAAAGCAGTTACAAGATAATTAGCAAGTTAGTTCCTTTTAAACCTTTGTCAGAATCACGTGTTTCAACTGGACTCAGCTGTTCCCTCTCTCTTCCATGCAAGACCTTTCTTAGAATTAAGAGACACTGCACAGGCACTGGGAAATCTGTGCAGAATAAGGGAGGTGTCGTGCAGCTGCTCCTAGGGCAGAGAAGGGAACGGAAATTTATCTTCACCCTCTGCATTCCCCTCAGTTCTGCAGTGGCAGTAAACTCTGCTGGTCATTCTCCTGTCCCAGTTTTATCTGACTGCATAGCAGGTCAGCCGTATCTTTATCCTTGTCTGGACACAAGGGACAGCAGTAGCTGCCTTGTCTCCATCGATGTGGGCTGCAAGGAGACCAAGGGAGCACACTGAGCTTCTTAAGGCTCTGCCCTGGCTTATACATCAGCACACGTTTGGGCTTGAAACAAGAGCAGAATAATGCAATTGTATTCTTGCTTTAGCAACATCAGAGATATATTTCCATCAAAACCTCTGTAATTTATGTGAGAATTTTCTCTTCATGAGAGATGAAACCAAGTCACAGCGTTTGGATCAGGGTGGTAGCGCCCACTCCCATGCACTGGAGAGTTCGGCTTTTAAAGTTAGATTCAGTTCAGCAGAAAAAGCAAAAGATCAGGTTGGAAATATGAATTGTTATTTAGACTCCGAGCTCCTCCAGAGCTCGTTAGCATTCATTTTCACATCTAGATAGCATCAAACAGGGCTGAGCATCTTAGTTTTAATGAATTACAGCAAATCTTTATGTGGCATGTACCCTGGAATGATGACTCTCTGTTCCATGCTGACTTGGTTTTTGGGGGCAGTCTTTTTAAACGCTGGGAATTGAAAGGCAGAAATGCACCCCAGCTGTCAAATTTTATATCAGAAATTATTTGGAACAGTTGAAATACCAAACCATAAAAAGAGGGGGTTATAATGGGAAAGCCAACTCAGCCTTAAAATAAACTTCATATCTTTCAGGACACAGACTTCAAATTTCTCACTAAAAACAAAGCTTTGATGATTCTCAGAGGTATGTAAATTCTGCAGTAATTCATTTATTCAGTGACAGTGCTCCACCTCCTAAATCAAACCTCCAATGTGTCATTATCCAGTAGCTCAGAACTAGCTCTTTGTGTGAAGACTCTGAAGCCTGCACTGAAAACAAAAGGCAACCCCATTTACTAGCTGTTTGATGTCTAGTCTTAGGAAATTGTTTAAGAACATAGAAATTAAAAGGAAAGCATTCTGCTAACCCCTGTCTCTGTATTTGCAGGTACTCTGTAGATCGACACACTGATATGGACAGAGTATTCAACATCAATTCAGGAAATGGTTCGATATTTACTTCAAAACCCCTTGACCGGGAAACACTGCTATGGCACAACATTACAGTAATAGCAGCAGAGATCAGTAAGTCAAACCTAAATACCACTGCTGTCTCTGATGTAATGAATTTAGCCTTCTAGCTGAGCATGTGGAAAGCACGGCTGGACAGATGTCAGGTTATAGGGATAGTCCATTCAATACGAATGAAAAAGTGGAAACTCTGCAAGAGGTGGTCTGCAGTTTTAAGATTACTAGGGACAGAGTTCATGAAGAAGTAACTTAGCTGAGCAGGGAGGAAAGGTAACAGTTCTGCATTTTGTAATCAGTAATAGCCATTTTTAATTGTTAACATAATTGTTGAATTCTGAAATTGGTGTGCAGGAGGAAAGATGGTCTAACGCCAAACTGCATTCCATGGCTGAATTCAGTCTGATGCAGACCGAATGTAGCACAGGCTGCATGTTTTCAGGTAAGACTAAGGTGGCTGGGCTGAGCTAGGTGTCCAGGTCTTAATTAGTTTTAAGTATTTCCATTTTTAACTTCTTTAGCGTCCTTTGAAATGAGTTACAACTCAGTCTGTCACTTACTTTAGGATTGCTCAGAAGACGTAATCTTTTGATAATACCAGTCACAATCATTCTAAGAGCTGAAAAGTCAGGGATCTAGATAAGGACGTGTATGTTAGGTGGTCTTAATAAACAATCCTCTTTTTTTTAATACATTAACTATAAGCATGTGACACGGTCAACCATTAGGGAATGCCATTCTATTCACATTTGCAAAGTCACAATGCTTATGGTTGTGAAGCGTGGTGGTATGGTAGATAGATCTGATATAAACACCACTTCTGTGACCATCACAAAGTGTGTGTGCAACTCAGAGGCTAAATGGCTTTTTTTTTAACCATAATCTGAGACAAAATAAATTCTACTTTCTTATGTTGTATGTATGTGTATATGGCTCAATCAGCTGCTGAACAATGAGAAGAATATTACTAAGGAGTACTCGACTCCAGCTTTCCTTATTCTTTAAGTCTTTTTAAAACTGAAAACTGATGTGAGACAATCCTATTGAGGCAAGCAGATGGGGCTATGTAAAAGAGTAGTGAGCTAGAGCTTACAGGAATGATGTTTCTTAATAGTTTTCTCCCTCTCTTGAAAGCTTTCACCTTTAAATGCTAGGTATGTGGTTTCAGCATGCCGAACACTGACTTCTGGCTGCCTGTTAGTCAGGTGTCTGTGTTTCTGTTAAGTTTCGAAGGAGTCATCTAGGGTCAAGAATTGTATACTGCAGACTGAGCTCCTGGGTAGAGGAGGAGGGGAAAAATAAACACCTGGAAAGGAAATAATAGCAGTAACGTTTAGGAAGCACACTTGTGTTGATCCTAGCAGAGATGAAATAATATACAGTATAGAAAATGGTATACTATCTGAAAATCAGCTTAGCATCTATTTGAAATATTCAATTCTTTGCCTCCTCCCCTAAGGACAGACCTTCTACTGGGCCAAATGCTCTCAACTAAACCTTTTGTGTCTGACATCGGCTTCTGTCTTAATTACCAATCCTCTTTAGTCTGAATCCTTCCAGGCTGCAACAAGCTACTTCCCAGGCTGCGCTTCACTGAGCCTAGACCAAATTTGGCATAACTGGGGTAGATGCCTTCCAAAGGCAATTTTCTTGGCTGAAATGCAGCTACTGTTGAAACAAGCCTTGGTCTGATCCAGGCTACCTCACTAATTTTAGTCTCAAGAGAGTAGATTGGAAAGCACCACTGCTTAATGCTCCTAGAGAAACCCAGTAATTTCTAGCAAGGCTAACTAAACTCCCATTCCACTAGATTCCAGCTAATCACTTATTGCTCTCAGTGACATACCATCACATCAAACTCCAGGTATATTGTGCTGAAGTAATCTGAAAGAAATATCCAGTCAAGTTATAGGCAGGATGCGCATTCAGGTGGATGGGTGCTCCCTTTGACACAAAGAAGTAAAAAAAATTAATTATAAAACGATAAAGAGAAACACCTTTCATTGATAACTGTTCTTGATTTCCTTCTACAGTAGAAACAAAATGGAAGTAAGGAAGTTGGTTTTCCTTTAATTGTCTAAAATTGTCAGTAAGCTGAGGTAGCTCCATTTTCGAACCTTCATCTTTTTCACCAGTATGAGCTGCAGTTGCTCAGCAGACCGGAGAATCATCCTGTGAATGTTTCAAACAAATAGTTGGTGAAACACTGCGTCAGTACATCTGCCATAGTCAGAAGGCAAACTGGCAATTAAACCTGGTACATGGGGCTACTGATTCACAGCTGCAGAATTACAGCTGATTTACTGGATAGAATTCCCAGAGTATTTTTAAATATTATTTACTTAACACTTAAGGGTAAATCAAACATTGGCAGGACTTTGAGGCTGTATTCAGAAAAAAAAAACTTTTATGGTTTGGTTGCTGGCTCAACAGAAAACATACCACTAGAGGGATGAATAGATTTAAGCAGTTCGTTGAGTCTGTGGAGCTTTTTTTGGAGATGGAGCCCAACAGTAATTACAGGATAATGCAAACAAATTAACCTACACCAATTAATTTGCAAAAATAATTTGAAAGATGACAAAAAAAGACTTTAAGATGTATACATATATTTCAACTTACATTTCCATTACATCAGAAAAAAGGCCCATGTCCATAGAGCACAGAGTTTTTATGAAGCTTCTACTTATTACAGTATTATTTTAAATTGTGAGACTCTTAAGCATCTAGAAGTAAAATGAAAATATGTAGTTCATGGTTCAAAAAGCAGGAAAGAAAACAATTGTAATCCTTGAGAGGAAAAGAAACACATTTGCCAATATATTTGAATGTATTTGTTAGAGAGGTATGCCCTTATGAAATAGTCTTGCCAATAGTCCTGTGACTTCAAATGAGTACCTTTTATTTCTGCCTATTATAAAAATTCAACATTTGTATTGATGTATTTTAGCATAGAATTCAGCCTAGTCTATATTATCCATAAACTGTTATTTTATACATTGAATGAATTTAGCCCAATGGTTCATATTAGAAAGTGGTTTATGCCTAATGGAATCATATTAACTTCAATGGGACTGTGGAGCTTTAAAGCACAATATTTCGTCCAAATGACTGAGCTCTGTAATAAAAATATACAGTGCCAATTTTGGAGAAGGCATTTTCAAATTTATAAAAGTACGATAAACACAGTAATAGGACTTTTATTAAAGCCTAACTCAACAAGCTACTATAATGAATGCTTGTAGAAGCATACAGAGTCTAGACTGCTATATTTTATTGCACTATTGTCTTCACTTGAATCATAGGTTAAAATGTATTAATAAACTATATTAACACAGTTAGGAAATTAACGTAGGAAGACTCGGTGTTAGCCCTCATGAAAGGGAGGGGGAAGGTATTTATTAAAAATGAAGCTAATTTCAATCATCGCACTCACTCCCTCATAGATTTCACTCTCTCACATTCCAGCTCCCAGGCACTGCGGTGGGTACGTCTGGGTGACCCAGCCTGGATCATTTTTTGTGTGGTATGGAGCACAAAGGACACAGATCATGTCCTGGAAATGTCTCTTGGTTTCCTGTTGGTTGGTGATGACAAATTGGTTTGCGGGCAGGTCTTATACCTTTAGGAGTCGATGGTTGTTATGATGTGACTTTTTGCCTGAGAATCTTGCGTATTTCACCATTCATGGCTCCTAGGCAAGGTTGCTGCCTGATGCCTTTCTTCCTTATTTTGTGTATCTTCATGACGAAAGCCTGTCTCCCCCCAACAGGAATAGGAAAGGTCCAACAGGACTAATAGTCCAACAGGAAAAGAAATGGTCTATACAGTGTGGTGCATTTCCAAATGATTTTATTTTTATCTAGAAAGATGACAATATTTTCATCAATGTTTTATGCTCATGAATATCCTTGTCAAATTCAATCTCTTGGCACAATATGGTCCTTATCACGAAAAAACCCATGTTTACATATGGGAATCTGCAGATTCTATACAGTGGTTGTGTTCTTCAGCTGATATATTTTAGTGTTAACTTTAGAATATCAACCAAATCAATTCACAACAGATTATAAAATATCTGTGATCACAGCTGCAGTTACTATTTGTATGACATAATGGTAATCATGGTAGCTTACAGAGCTGTGTCACAAGATTTGTAGGGGACAGAATATTATGTATAACAGGTGGAGAGGAAAAAAAAGCACCCAATCCCATCTTCATGACTCTTCAGTCTTCCCATTTCAGAGTTAAGGAAGGGAATATGTTCTAGAAACCATTGCCGCCAAACTACATCAGTTAGGTTAATAAATAGATTTCATTTCATTCCAGCATTATGTTTATATATATATCTCACACATAGATTCATAATCATACTTAGAGTGTTCAAAGGAATTTGTAAATCCTGGACTCCTACCAGTCTTAACTGTATAGCTTACACAGAATCAGAGTAATGATAATACAGCATGATTTTGTGGAATTCGCCCCATAACGCACTCCCCAGAAATCAACAGAATATAAGCGGAGTGTTGTGAGTGAGAAAAATTAAGGCAATGAGCCCCTCAGTCTGTCCTTTCCTTCTCCCGCACCGAGTCAGTAGCTGGGCTAAATAAAATCTCTATTCTTTCTGGTTTTATCATTTCAGACAACCCAAAACAAAGCAGCCGTGTCCCAGTGTTCATTAAGGTTTTGGATGTAAATGACAATGCTCCAGAGTTCGCCATGTTTTATGAGACCTTCGTCTGTGAAAATGCAAAGGCAGAACAGGTGTGTTGTCTGCTTGTACTAAGAAAATATTCCAAATTAATTGAGTTTTGCTACTACTCTTGCATCACCTCATCAAGAGGTATGCTTTGCATTGCATCAAACTGTCGGTTTTGCAAAATTAAACTAAACAGTGGCTGCACAGTGTCTGATTACACTTAGCATTCTTTCAGCTAATGTGACAGTATGTTTTACGCTGTTGTTTTCTGTACTGCACCTTGTTAGCCCTGATTCATTTTCATTCTGTGATTCTCTGCTTTGTTCAGGCACCTCCACTGTCTCCTCCAAAAACAGTTTCAGGTCCGTAACTGTTACAGGTCCTGTCTGTGATATAACTATTTCCTGCCAGATAACTCTCACTCTACCAGTCCTATTACTAATGGTTCAAAGTAGCAGATAATTTGGAAGATTCAGCCAAACAATTCCTGCGACATGAGATTTGGGTAGATAAATATACAGTCACCTTTCATCTCTATTGCTTGTCACATGCAAAGGTTTCCTACCCATCTGGAGTGGCATCAGCCCAAGGCTGCTCTTGATTTCAACATGATTTTCTTGCCAACTTCCAAATTCATTATGTTATTGGCTGATGGAATGGGATACAATAGCATGGTGATCCTAAACAGCATCAGCAGCACATGGATCATTTTTCTTATGTTCTCCATAGCAGCATCAGCTGCCTTAAAGCAGAAGAAAAAAAATGAATACAGTAAGATTGCTTTACAGAGTACATAAATAAGCATAAGGTCCACTGACTTTGAAGATAATTTTGTTCTTATTGTTTCAGCTGATACAAACATTAAGTGCTGTTGATAAAGATGACTCTTACAGTGGACATCAGTTTTCATTCTCCTTAGCTCCTGAGGCAGCCAGCAGCTCAAACTTTACACTACAGGACAACAGAGGTGAATTTCTAGGAAGACTTTTCTTTATTATCTCATCCTTGCTTTCAGTCTTCAGATGAAAATTTAATGCGTGCTTTGTGTTTCCAGACAACACAGCGGGTATTTTCACCAGAAAAAACAGATATAGCCGGCATGAAATGAGCACCTACTTCTTGCCAGTGGTAATATCAGACAATGACTACCCTATCCAGAGCAGCACTGAAACGGTGACTATTCGAGTATGTGCTTGTGACTATCGAGGAAAGATGCTGTCCTGTAATGCAGAAGCCTTGATTCATCCTACTGGTCTTAGCACTGGGGCTCTTATTGCCATTCTTCTCTGTATCATTATATTACTCGGTAAGTAGCTCAGAGGCATTTTGTTCCTTTCATGGTTATTTTGCATTGCTACAAGTGATTATACCAAGGCTAGGACAAGAGCAAAGCAAAGACATCCTTGTCTTATGCTGCCTTTGTATTTTTGTATTTCCCCCTCTGAGGACTGCTGCAGACATGGTGTATAGAACATATCCTATTTAATCTGTTATCTAAAAGTTAGCAATGTCCAAGCAAAAGGAGACAGCTGGGCTCCACCCTCTGGTCAACAGAAAGACAGGCACCTGTAGAGAGACGCTCATCCCTTCCCCGTATTGGTATCTGAGGTGGACCAGACTAATCACCCTCTGTGGGTGTCTGTCTCTTTCTGTTGACTATAGAAGGAGGCCAGATAACTCAGTTTTAAACAATAAACTTCCCATGTCTAAACAGGAAAAACAAGTCGCAGTGATTCTGTTCTGCTGGAAAAGGATGCTGAAATGGGGTGGATTTCTCTTAACAGGGTTACATTGCCCTTAACAGGGTTACAAATGAGAAAGGGGGGTTGCCAAAAAAAGTCTTTAACAGTCACTGTGCTTTGACTCACACACCATTTTATAAACACAGCTGACATGAAAGCATTCTCTCAAAAGCTGCAGGGTCCTCCCTTTCAGGCACCTGTGAATATGAAGAGGTTGGATCCTGAATGTGGAGGATGTACAGATCTGGCTACAGCACTTACAGGTGGTCAACATTTATTTTTTTCATAAAAACAAGGACAGTTTGCAACATCTCTCACACTCCTCTCACTCAGGTTCCACCCCTCTTGCACAGCAGAGAGGATTGGTCCCTCGGCCATTAGCCGTAGTCCATACATCTGGGGACAACTGTACAATACGACACAGGCAGTTGTCAGGGAGATGTTATTTGTCACCTTTCCTATCTGGCCAGGAAAGAAGGGAGTCAGACCAATTTTACAGTAGCAGGGGAGAAAATATTTCCTCAGTGATTCCACTTCTTTTTACCATGCTCATATCTTTCTTGGACATGCTTATCACTACTACAGAATCATCCTGATCTTTACTATTATCAAAATTTCCTTTTCCAGTGATAAGTCAAAGACCACATTGTGATTCTCAGACTTTAACAATATAGTCATGGCTTGCCCAAATAAGCACTATGCCATTTTCAGAAAAGATTACCACAATAACAATCTTACCTTTAATTTGCCATTAAATTCATTTTTCAAAACATGGTATCATTGCCTTTAAGGACTGAGCTCACTTTGTATCAAGTTCCTTACCAGAAAAAGAAATCTAATGCTGCAGATAGTCTTGAACTCATTAGTACAACTGTGCTCATTAATATCAATCTGACATTAAACGATTTCCTGTTTTATGTCAATCGAAAATAATTGATTCTGTGTGCTAAGCAGCACTTTATGTCAATTACTGCTCACGCCACCATGCAGCATAAGCAGATTTTCAATTAACTCAGCTATATAATTTTCTATTTTCAGGCTGGTTGCAGTGTTTGCATGTGCAACCACTACTGAGTGAAAAACAATAATCTGGGCAGATCTCAACCACAACTTAAAGTTTAGAGGCAACAAAAAGTGCCTGTAAATTGCTAGGTTTATTTGCAGTTCGAATAAGTCTAGTGGCTTATCAGGAGGCCTCAGATACTGCTGAACGCTGACATGCAAATAAAGGTGATGTACTTTAACATATAACTTCTAATGTGGTTTCTTTGCACGCAAGTTCAGCACAAAATAAGAAAACCCAAGTATCAGAGATGTTACATGATTATCAAAGTCTCATCCTTGCATATTCTGTGTAACACCTTTTTTGCTAATGAGATGCTTCAGCAACCCTTCCATGTAGTAACTATCATTCCTACACTTTCTCAGATCATTCTACTGGTCGCTATTCTGGAAAAATTCCTTCAAAATCGATGCTGTGTTTTTCTAGTTCTCCAAAATTTTCTCCAGCTATCTCTGTTATCTCACACAGACCTTTCCTCAATCCTCCCACGTAGTGTCACAGCTTTATGCTTTTAAGGGAGAGAATTCTCTCCTACTGCATTTTTGCACAGCAGCACAAAGAAGCATCACTCAGATTAGGACCCTTACGTGACACTATAAGTAAATCTTCGTCATTAGGGTAAGAGCCTGAAGCTTTCACCATCTGAACCAGCACTCCTAATTCCTCCAGTTTCACCACCTCACTTATTTCCTTTCAACTCTTATTAACAGATGTTCTCCCTTACTCACACTATTCCTGTGGTAAAGACACAACAGGAATTAGAGCATTTTCCTACTTTATCCTGCCTCCTTCAGACCCCTTTATAGTCAATGGAGAGGAAGAGTATGAGACTCTTCCACAACATGCTTGAAGACACCTACTGATAGCATTTTTCTTAAGCAATCCTGCAGGGGAGCCTATTGTTTAAATAAATAAATAAATAAATCAGCTTTTTGTCTGTTGAAGGAAGCTAAGAAAGACAAGATTCAGTGGACTAAAATTTTGTTATGGAGATGTCCTTAGTCCTTGGCATTGCCCTTAACAGGGTTACAAATGAGAAAGGGGTTGCCAAAAAAAGTCTTTAACAGTTACTGTGCTTTGACTCACACACCATTTTATAAACACAGCTGACATGAAAGATAATTTTGAAGCACCTTATCATCTCATATCAATGAGTTTAGGCATTTTCTGATTTGCTTTGCTTTGCTATGAAAGAACTATAAAGACAGCAAGACATGTCTTTTGCCGGAGTTTGCACAGCAGAGCTGAAATACTGGGCACTGTGGACCCCAGACTACAAAAGCAACAGCAATAGTAGTAATACATCCCAGCTCCTTGCTGATGTTCATTTGTAAATATTCAGTCATTTACCATCTTAAGATAGAATCCAGCTAAGAAATCTGAAATTAACTTCTAAAGGAAATAATGTGTTGAACCTATCCCCTCCCACCCTCTGTACCCACTTCTCCAACAGTACCTGGGATCGTTATTGAGTAAAAATATTTACATTTGGATCAGGGCCTTGGTAAAAGCTCCTGCCCCCCAAATAAATGAAATATATATATACATACACACACACTTTAGAATGAAAGGCATAAAATTATCTGTTTGAGAAATCTTATGCCTTTGGAAGATTGAATAATACCATTACCATATCTTATCAGTCTAAGATTTAAGCCATGTACTTTTTTAAGGTGATGTACGTTGTAAAAACTTGCCAGGGAAGTCAATAAAACTTGGACTTTGTGCTGGTTGAAAATCCACTCCATATTCCAAGTTTTTTCCAGAGGAAGGTCGATTTACTTATCTTGAAATGCAGTTTTGCTAACTTATTGTCATAGCCCAGTACATGCTGGCCTTGTCCATAGCACAAGTTGCATCCCGTCCCAGGGGTTCAAAGTGAGTAACACCTGATGTTACTTATTTTTGAGAAAGTGTTTCTCCCTTCCCAACTCTCACAAAACTAGTTCTATTCTCAAGGCAACAAAATTGCTATATGACTCTGGGTAAAAATGTGCCTACTGACAAAAAGATTCTCCACTTGGTTTCTTACAAGCTTGACATCTCCTTTCTTCTAGTGCATATCCACTCCATTTTGTCTCCCAAGGTACTCACAGGCAGAGCAAGCACAGTCTGAATACCTGACATGCACATTTGCAGTTTTGCAAAACATCTTTTAAAACTTCGGATTCAAGCAGAGGCACAGCATTTCTTCTGGGTTTTAATGGAGTTAGGGATTAACCTTTCCCTTTCTCTTCCCCTGTTATTTTTTTGTTTCCAGTTACAGTGGTGCTGTTTGCAGCACTGAGACGGCAGCGGAAAAAAGAGCCTTTGATTATTTCCAAAGAAGACATCAGAGACAACATTGTCAGTTATAATGATGAAGGTGGTGGAGAGGAAGACACCCAGGCATTTGATATCGGCACGCTGAGGAATCCCGAAGCCATAGACGATAATAAATTGCGCAGAGACATTGTGCCGGAAACACTTTTTATGCCACGGCGGACTGCGACAGCACGAGATAACACAGATGTCAGAGATTTCATTAACCAAAGGTTAAAGGAAAACGATACAGATCCAGCGGCACCCCCGTATGACTCGTTAGCAACCTACGCATATGAAGGTAATGGTTCTGTGGCCGAGTCCCTCAGCTCCTTGGAGTCGGTGACTACGGACGGAGATCAGGACTACGATTACCTCAGTGACTGGGGGCCACGGTTTAAAAAGCTGGCGGATATGTATGGCGCAATGGACAGTGACAGAGACTCTTAATATGTTGCCTTTTTTTCCTTCTTTATTTTTCCCCCTTCCTCATTTTCAGAAACAGCATTGAGATATGTGAAGTGGCTATTTCTTTCTATTTCTCCACAGCTGTGTGAAAGGGTTCTGTGTTCTACCCGTTCAAATTGTTTAATAACTGCAGTCTGTGTGGATCAGCTGTCAGAAAACTTTTTCTAGTATCATTTTATGAGCTTCCAAGAGGCAAAATTCTTATTTTTTAGTGCATCCAGTTTACCAAGCCGATCTTACAGGCACGGCAGTAGTGGAGGAGAAAAAAAAAGGATCAGATGGGGAGCAATATTTTTACTTGTTCTGCTTATATTGTAAATTGGAGTATATTACTGTTTAAGCTCACTTGCTCTTTTTACTTGTATTCAGACTATTCAGCTCAGACAACTGCTCTGTTGATTGTGTATTGCACATCCCAATGTAATGAGGTACCCTAGTTTACCCTATGTATTATAGTCAAAAGTAGTGGTGATGGAATGAAGGTTTATTGTACAAGTAGAGTAAGCTGAGAAAAAACATCAAACATGCATTTTATTCATGAGGAGGGTAGAAAGACCTAACGGTCATTTAAATCTAAGTGTTTTTCTAGAACTCCCCATTGCCCCCAGTGCACTGAATCACACTAACACACACACATATATATAGTTCATTGACTGCTATGTATATATTCTTCTGACCTAGCATTGCTGGAGAGATGCGTGTGCGTGCATGTGTGTGCGGTCATTAGCCCCAATATCTAATTCTTAGATGGTTTCCCAGTTCTAACCCAGACCTGCCTTGTGATATGGGGAAAGTCATCTAATCCAACTCCAGATTAGATCATGACTTGGAGGAAGGAGCAGATCATAACTGTGCTCTGTACTTCTTCGGTCGGCCTCCACCTGCACATCAGTTCAGTGGTGGCCACTGCGCTGGTAAGGTGGGAGTCAGGCTTTTCACATCCATCTGCTTCTGCCTGTTCTCATGCGCAGGAGGGGACTAGTAGCCTCAAGGTGATGGCCACCCGTTGGGGCAAAAGGAGCAACTGCAAAGGAGGGAAGAGTGGTTTTTTTTGTCCTGACCTTCCCTGCCTGGACGCCCAAGGGTGGCTTCCCGACTGACTCTCTGCCCAGTTCTGCTATCTGTAAAGTGGGGAAATAACGCCTACCTCATCAGGATGTTGAAAGAATTATATAAGTAATTTGGAAAATGCTTTAGAGATGGAAAATACTGGCATTCTGCCAGAGGAAGTAATTTCTCATGCTTTTGGGTGGTTGTTTTCTTTTTTTTTCTTTTTCCCCCAGATTCAAGCTCTGAATGCACAAGTAAGCAAGAATCAATTGTCATTCCAGTGGCCTGAAAAGTAAGGTTTATAACTATAACTCATTTTTTTAAATAAACTACTCAGACAGGTTTGTTAGAGACTTCACCAAAAGCTAAAATTTTAATCACAAGTCTCTCTGTGTGTGTTTATCTGCTTTGCCAAGCTAAGTAATTTTTGTCCAAGGGGTGGGTGGGGGAAGATGTCATAGTCTTAGGCCAAAACAATTTTCTTTACAGCTCGTGCACCACTCAGTATTTCTGTTGGTTTGTCAAACGCATGCAGTTGCTGCTCTTCAAATCCAGCCATCTAGAAGAGGCTATCTGGAGAAAACCCTAAGGGGCTGCCATGGGACATTTCCAAAGCCACTCTGTGTCCCAAAGTAAGGACACAGCCCATGGCACTGTGTCAAGGAGAGAAGGAAATATTTATATTTTTTTTAATATACCTCATACATAACTAATCATCTCATTTATTTCATTTAGAAACAATATTTAACACCAGAATTACAGGCATGGATCTATTTTCCCCCTCCCCTGAATCTTAAGTGAATCAGTTTGAAAACTAAACAACAGCTCCAATTTACTCTAAAAATAATGAGAAGGGGAAAAAGTTAATAAACAGAAAATTAAAAGGGATTAAAAATTAATCCCTGGAATTCATTACTCCTCCAGAGTTAAATAAAGAGAGCAGTAAGATTCCCGAATATTAGACTTTTACAAGCACGACGACATAATTTCAGGTTTTGCAAACCGGCTCACAGCAAAGAGGCTGATCCAGCCATGCAGCGGTTCCGGCTGGACTGGGAAGGACTCCTTCGCAGCAGGGAGCGCTGCACATGGACAAGTTTAGGGTAAGGCAGCTAATGGCTTGCAGGTGCCCAGCCTGATAGATTAGATAGGGCTTCAGAGTGGAGGAGCCCGGAGTTTCAAAGGGTCCTGAGAACCCCTTGTCACTGATGGAGGCCTCTCACAGTGCTTCACTCCAGCAGAGTAAGGTGCCCAGCTCCGTCAGAGCTGAGTCTGTGGTGCCTGTCACAACAGCGATGGCACAACTAGGCCCTTATTATGTCCTCCTGAGGGCCCCTTAGGAATTTAAGATGATAAAAGCCTTTGAAAGTCTAGCCCTTAAAGGCTTCCTTGAAATCAGAGCATTCAGGAGGCAACCTGTCCGAAACCTGGCTCTGGCACACAGGAGGGACCATCTGGATTTCAGATACATAGAGGAGCAGCAGATGCTCAGCACCACCTGCCACACGTCCCTCATTTTGGGCTGCTTTCCTCACGCAGTCAGGGGAGGCAGTGTACCCCTCTAACACACGCCTGTGTCTCACCCGTCACTGCATGGGGTTGCCTCGACCAAATTGCCTCAAGCTCAAGAGTCCAGTTGGACACCCAAAGTCCGCCAGTGAACTGTACCTTCCCCTTCTCAGGCCCCAAGGAAACAGATTTGTGTGTGGAGGGGATGGCAGAGGTGGCTGCGGAACCGCACGCATATTTGGCCCTACGAGCCATCCCCAGCTCACAGGGAAGAGGGAGTCACCGTTGCTTGACTGAAGACAGACCTTGCACCCTGAACGGGCTGGGCCACCCTGCAGATCAGCTTCCATTAGTCACTCCTTGGGGTGGAATAACACGACAGGAGGATCACTGATCTTGTAACTACTTTCCTATGTTTGTACAGTGATTTTGTCTGATTTAGTGATTGTTAGTAGCAGTCCAAGCTCAAGTTTCTTTTTTTCTTTTTTTCTTTTTTTGTTCTTTGAATTGAAAGCTGGTTTTATCTTGTCCATTGAGTGACACAGTAAATAATAGAGAGTGGCTACTCATGCCTGTTGTGTAAATATATTATATATAAAATTATGTTATGTCACCACAAGTATGGTGCCTGAATAACAAATGGATTCTTCTAAGAAAATTCAAGGCAAACTCGCATCCAAATTATTATTTATGCATCTAGGTTTTAAGGTCTACTTTTTTCCTGCAAATTAGACAGATTTAGCATCTCTCACACAGCAAGAAGAGTTCAAGTCTGTCTTTTCTTCTTGCTTGGCAGTACCACAAAGTGCAATTTCTAAAATCAGTACTGCATATTAAATATTGAAAGTGCCATATTGCAGTGAACACAAAACTTTGCAGTAGTATTTCTTTGTACCTTGTTGCATGCCGGCGTGCTAGATGATAGAAATGAGTATTTAACAATGCTTTCACACAGTGCTAGAATTGCCATTTATAGATAAACAAGTATTAGACTATGGGCTATGAAGTGGGTTTGAGGGCTGTTTTAAGCCTGCTCTTCTTAACATCCACACCTATTTGAGGAGAAATATTACTAGGAATTTTATCTAAGCCAGGTAGGGAGATGCGGTTGGCTTTTAATTTGGAAAAACATCTGATCTAACAACAAGGGACCTATTAAAAGATACCAAGGACTTCAGTGGAGTTATCATGATACAGAGGTGTGTTTATGCAGAACAGTAGCAACTCTATACTTGAGATGGAATAAGGTTTCTAGTATAACTATTCCATCCCAGATGCCAAAATAGCCCCTTTATTCCAGAAAAAGGATTTTTTGCTCCAAAAGAATGATTATTTCAGGTTAAAAATTATTCCTTCCCACAGCATGGGGAGACACAGCAGTCCATATACGCAACTGCAGTTGTGCCAGAACATCTCTCTGTGTAGACAGGTGCTTGGAAGACAGCTAAGGCAGAACCCTGCAGCGAGCTCTGAACAAAGGAATTCAGGGGTTTCCACAGGGCTCTACTGACAGCACACAGGACTGGGATGTGTTCCCAAAGCTGACGTTGATAGATATGCTGTCTAACCATGAGAAAAACAAGTTATCTGTGTGTTTCAGTTATTGTTTGTAAAAAAAATTCTGAGGAAAATTCCAAGTAGAAGAGGAACACCTCATCTGTACCAACACTTTTTTTTTTTTCTAAATTTGTCCTAAGAAACAGGTATATTTTTCTGACATTTTTATATTTTATTAGTTGTCAGGTCTTACTTCATTCTATGGACAGGTATTTTCTAGCTGTTAAATGTGAATGGGAGAAGCAACCTTCAAATGATCCCATTTCAGCAGTAGCAGGCTACATTACAAGGCAACATTTCCATTTCTCTGTCACAAAACAAACAATTCCCCCCACACACACACCCCCCCCAAAAAAAAACCAACAACCTCCAACTAACTGAAAATTTGTAGTACCATAAAAAGCAGAATGGTCGTAAAGAAATACAACAAGGATAAATGGCTTTGGGAATGTGTGTCTGCACAAGTACAGTATGAATAAAAAGAAGGGAAATAACGAATGTTGGAAGCTGGACGTGTTTCAAAATCAGACTTATTCATGTTGGGCTGGGGCAACAGTGCATAGTCACTTCTAACACTTCCAGGTTTCCTACAGCAGCCAGAGGGAGATTTGCATGGACAGGAAGAAAGACATCATCTTTTTCGGACCAAGCAAACGATATCCATGCAAACCTTTAGGAAAGAAAGTCCCTTTGTCATGATTATTATCAAAACATGTTAAGTTTCTGCATCAGACATATCTTAATGGCCTTCTGCAGGGTGAATTACGGACAGTGATTCTGAGCAGGTAACTCTCTCTGCAAACACCACCATGTTAGCTCTTCCTGCCACCATCTGTTTTAAATCTCTCCATGTTTCCTTTGGCTATAGGTAGTATTGAAGTGTTTCAGAAGACCACTGTCCCAACTGGATGCTGCTATGCTCTGCCCGTTTGTGTTTCAATTAACACTGCAGTCTGAGCGCCCTTGTTCAATGAGAGCTGACAAATTAGCAGTCACTATGTTACTTCCAGTGAGTATGAACTATGTTGTAAGTTGTGAAAGGCAGGTTTTTTTCCAGCCCCTCTAGACCTGCGAAACTGCAGCCTCCTCCAATAAATGTCAAAGCCACAATGGTTTTTATTTTCAGTTTAATC